AATTTCTTGATTCGTTTCAAAATGGAGTTTCCATTCCTTGGGATCCATTTCCACCTGCAAATAATTCTTATCATGACATTTCTGATTTGGGTTTTAATTTCCAAGCCATATATTCTATATGTATGTATTGTCAATCTAATTATGATTTAATTTACCTGGAATGCTTTATCTCTCCAATGAAAAACACACCCATGAGTCTCCATGTAATCAACAAGAGATCCGGGAAGCAATGACCTAAAGGAATTATGAAGCTTCACCTTTCTCAACCCTCTACAAGCCAACAGAGCAGCTGCCAGGCCATTAGCTGTCAAGCCTGACAAGTGCAAGATAGTTATAGTCTGCAGGCTGTTGATGCTACTCAATGCCATAAACCCAACATCTGTAACACTGCAATACGACAAGTTTATCTGCAATAACAAATTGAATGCGTATGAAAAAAAATTCTCAGTTTTCTTTTTCTCCCCTACAGTAATCTGGACTAAAAAGATAGAGAGGAAGTACAGTACCTGTTTCAGGTTCTGTGAGTGTCGAGCAAGCGAGAGCATCCCGTTGTCATTAATTTTTATACACTTCTTTACGTCCAGAACTCTAAGCTGCCTGCATCCTTTTGCAATGGCTGATAGACCTATCGATGAGACAGAATGGCATCCTCGAATTTCGAGTTCTTTCAAGCTTGAACATTTTGATAATGATATCAGTGATGTGTCACTTATTTTGTCATTATAAGCTATGTTGATAATCTCAAGTTCGGGGCAACCATGAGCAATTTCCTCAATTCCCATATCACTAATATCGGAGCACCTACATAAAAATCACCGAATTCAGGCTATTTAAGCATTGAAATTGCAGAATGGATATATGCAAAAGAATGGAAATTGCACAAACCTGTACAAATCAAGTTCTCTAAGCCTTGCACAGCCTCTTGCTACATATGCAAGACCATGATCATTTATATTAGGGCAAAGTCCGAGCTTTAAACTAGAAATCTTGGGACATCCAGATATGGATTTTAAGCCTGCATCATTGCACAAATCATTTGCAGAAAAGTATAATCAACATATATATACATACATGTTTTAGATCAAAAGCTAGAAACCTTCATTGCAGATTTCATTGCATGTGACATCCAGCTCCTCCAAATGGCGACAACGGTCTCCAATCAATACGAAAGCATCCTTTGCTACCAAATCACAACATTCCATCCTAAGGGAAGTGAGAGCAGAACATGAATTTGTTATGCTATCTACAGACACATATGTTATCTTCCGACAACATGTGATGTCTAACTTCCTTAGTTGTTCATGTGCTTGTACGAGGAGGGAGAGTACTTCGTCTGTCACTCCTGAGCATTTACTTAAGCTCATCTCCTTGAGTGAGGAAAACCATTTTCCGATGGCTTTTATCCCGGAACAAGTAACCAAAAGACCATCTAGTTTGATCGATTGCAGATTTGGAAAATTGTGAAGGCAGGCTGCAAGATCAGCCGTGACCTGAACCACCATAAGAAACAAAATCAACATTGAACTAATAGATATGTTTAAATTAACAATGGTAACTAATTACCTTGAGGCACTGAAGGCTTCCAGCAAACCCACATGCCAAGTTCAGTTGTTTGAGTGAATCAGCTCCATTTGTCAAAGAAGACAGACCCACATGAGTTATTTTATGGCAGTTTGATATGTTTAGTCCCTGCAAATCCAAAAGAAAATCTAAAAATTTAGGAAGAACATTAATTTTAATAACATAAACTATATCGTAAAACGAAAAGATCATAGCCAAACCGAGTGAATGGATATATAAGTAACTATAAATCATGTTTTAGTGAGATTAACATACGTAACAAAGAGTAAGAAAAATACTAGACCTTGAGTGACTTGCAGCTGTGTTTGAGGGTACTGAGGCGATCATCATTAACACCAAGGCATCCCTCAAGGACTAAATCTTCAAGATGTTTTAGTTGAAAAATAGCTGAGAGGCATTTTCCCCTTATCTGTATTGCAAAAGAAGCAGAGAATATCGAGTTTTTAAGCTGCTAGAAAAAGGTTCCAATTTTATCACAAGTTCCAATTTGATTTTAAACTTTCCCGAAAGCCAAATTCAGTCCGAGAAGTGAGGGATCACATTTTTAACCAGAATCTATTATGGATGATGTAACTCACTAAAAGACTCTTGAGAGACAGAGAGAGATTTATTCTTTTTTTTTTTTGTAATAAAAATATCTACGTTTTTTTTTTAATTAGGTATCATGTACATGAGCATTGTAACATAACCTCTTAAGAAGTACACACCAATATGACTCAAATCTACACTATGTTACCTACTATCATTATGCACTAATCGAAACAGACATCCATTAATGGTTGGAAGCAACTTTTCTTTAGGAAAATTGCAACTTCAGGAAAGGAATCTTCATTAATACTCTAACCAACTTAAAGAAACACATACAGAAACCCCCATTGGAAAATGTAGGGATTAATGTAAAGATCATTTAATATACATTGATTTTTGCCACTCAAAATTGAATTCGGAATCAGGTTTTGGAAAGTCCAACAAAAAGCCAAACTATGTATATACCAAATCACATTAGAAATAAATTCAACCAATGATAACAACTCACACCAAATGTCATAATCAATTTGGTAGAGCACAAAAAGCTATACAGACTCTGTATTAAGTGCATGAAACAGAGATTTCTGGCGAAACTTTCTGGGGAACCAAACAGTGAAAAGCAGTAGAAACCTAAAAAGGGGAGGAAGAGAAAGGAGAAACTGAAAAATTACCGGCAAGTAAGAAAGATCCAAACTCCTAATTTCTTTACACTTCAAAGCAACCAGCTCCACACCCAAATCAGTGATACGCAAGCACCATTTTAAGCAGAGCAGCTTCAGATTTCTACACCCAACGGCTATGCACCCGATCCCCATGTCTGATATCAACTTACACCTTCCTAGCCATAACTTCTCCAAGTTCTTAGCCTCTGAAATTGCGGCGGCCGCGGCGTCGGTCAACTCCGTCCCGTTCGACAAATCAACCTCGACTAATCCCAAACAGTTGGTGAACAAAATGGACAACCCAAGGCTCGTGAAAAACCTCGATCTAGACAGGTTTATCGAGCGCAAAGTGGATTTCCACATAGAAGACGATGCGCTCAATGTTGAGTCATGTACGTGAGGACAAAGAGAGAGGTCGAGGTGGGAGACTAAACGGTACCTCCGGCTTGTTCTGGGCAGAAGCTCTGAGCGTAGAGGCTTCAATGATTTGCGATGACGAGACTCGATGGAGTAAAAGTCTTTGCAAACGAGAGAGAAGGATTTCTTAGCAAATGCGTCGTCGGCGAGATTGTCTAGGATCATGAATATTATATCTTCTGTCAATATATCAAATGGGTTCGTGCTGGTTGCTTTCATTCTTTTGTTGGTTTTGTGGGTTTTCATGGTGGGTGGTTATGGAGATAAAATTCTCTGAGACTGAAGTTTGTTTATTAGACTCTGGAAGTTAGGATTGACAATTGAAAATCCTTTCTCTTTTCAATAATTTTTTTTTTACCTATGTGATAAAGTGATGGAACGCGAGAGGTAATTTGTTTTCTTGATAATAATAGGATTTGAAGACTATGAGATATAACCGTTGCAAAAAAAGCGGCTGAAACTGAGCTGGTGGAACCGGGCCGTGAGCGTAGGGAGCTATGGGGAAGAAGATGACTGGAAAGTGAAATTACAGAAATGGGCTTCATTGCAATTTGCTTAAATCAGCTGTGAGAGTAATTTGTTAGAATGACCAAATTACCCTCATCATTCAGGGAATAAAGGGCAATTTAGGGAATTGGATGTTCAGAAAAAGAAGTTCCTAATAATGGAAAGGGGCAGACGTGATCTCATCCGGGGAAGTTTACATTTGAGGAAGGACAGATTCAACCGCACATGGTACGGTTTTTTCCTATAATATTTTATTTTGTTGTTTGGTACGGAGTTTATTTAATTTAGAAATAGATATTGACGTACGTTTCACGTTGTACGTCTTGCACTTCACGATCATAATGGCGTGTCACGCATACACCAATCAGAGTTCGACGTGCGGGCGACGCTCCATCATTGCGTCTTCACATTTTTAGACTTTGGTACTGGTATTCGATTTCGGCGAGATGCCCAGTCACCGAAGGACTCGACAAGTAAAAAAAAAAAAAAAAAACGGATATACCTTTTTGACGGAAGCCGTAAGTTGACGGTAACTAGGGTCCATCTCATCCGTTAAAAGGCTGGCCTAGTGGCCAGAAGATATGCCAAGAGACAGCCCATAAAAAGTGGCGTCAATAGTCAACACATGCACGTGAATTAAACGTCGAATTGTACAATAAGAAATTTGATTTTAAAAAAAGTCTACGTTGGATAATAACGTTATATTTTTTCAAGAATAAATTTTATAATATATAATGTTAATACACAAAAAATAAATAAATAAATAAAAACAAAAGCATAGAGTTTAAACTCGTTCCTGGTTCATTGTAACAAAATAAAAAAAAATTGATAACTAATACAATAAAAATTCATTATATACAATTAGATTTAATATTTAAATAAAACACAATAAAATCAAATTAAATATTAAACATAATGACTGCTGATAAAAATTAATTAATAAATAATAACTATATTTGATTAGTAAATCGAAAAACTTTAACCCGACATTGCTCATTACAATCTAGAGCAATTTAATAATTTCATAAATATTAGCCTTCAGTAGAAATTCAATTACTACATAATCAAAATGACACCGGTTAAATTTATGGCTTCCAAAGCCTTCAGCCAAATCGTGCGGATTCTGATAAGATTATCATTGGGCGTTGACCTACGTCTGTACGAAAATAATCAAACACATGGGAGGGTCTACACAATTGATCTCCAAAATCTACATTCTACATAACTGCTGCTATTGATAAATCTGTTCTACTATTACATATCCTCGGCAAAAACTAAAGCGCAAAACAGAGCAGTACAGAAACAAAACTCTTTACTTCTTGGCAAAGGTGATGGACATTGGATTTTGGGGTGTGATTTTGAAACCCTGAAGGGCCTGCATGGCCATGGAGGACTGCACATCATCCTCAAATTCTACGAAGGCAATACCTGGTTTTGCTTCGATCATTCGTACTTCTCTGAACCCGGGGTACTGTTCAAAGAGCACTTGCAGCATCATGCTAGTAGTTTCATGAGGCAAGTTTTGTATGAACAAGATATTATTCGGTGCAACTGCTTCTTGTGCACTTGACTGGAAAGAAGCCTGTACATAATCAATGCAGAAAGTTTTGTCATAAGCAACTTTAGTATGCTGCCCAATTTCTCCGAAACCCAATAGTCTTGCTAGGGTTAAATGGGAGCTAACGTTTTTAATTTTTAAGAAAATATAAAAGAAGATACTGTTTTCCTTTTTTTTTCTTGTTCTGGAAAAAAGAGCTAGTATTTCAAGCACCAGCACAGGCACAGACCATGCACAAATCAGGAAACTTACAGCTGCGCCTCCATTTTGAGCACTTGCACCATTAGCCGTGGCTGATTGATGTGCTTCTTCAGCACGGCGTTTTCTTTCAGCTGGAGATGCACAATCTCTTTGTCAAAAAAATGTCACGTGAAACAAAAGAAAATAAAAAGAACACATCATTTTACACTGTACTGAAGGTCAATCAGAACAGCAATGCCATGCTTTCAGGAAAAAGATCAAGTACATTCAAAAGGGAGATACTACTCTCAACAAATAGGATAAGATCACCAATTTGTTCTCACATAATTCCAGTATTTTCTGGCATAAAACAACTGACAAATTTCATTGCACGATGAATCAAAAAATTGCTGTTCAGGAAATCAAATAGACAAATTCAACCTATCACCTGTCCAACTTATCTTAATGATACTCTTTTTCTCATGGTATGACAAACTTATAATAGTTTAATCATGAACACTGTGTAAAACCTAAAATGCTTCATTCATGGTTAAATGCTCAAAGATAAAAGCAACTCTTTAACAATTCTACCAATTTATCCACTGTCACAAAAACAACAATCTTTTATTATTATAAGCCGAGTGAAATGTGCTTAAACTGTGCTTATAATTTTTGAAACACCAATCTCCAAAAGAGAATGTTGTGTTACCCCTTGCCTCCTAATCCCACAATGTGCTTCAGTTAATACACTATACTTCTTGGACCAGAAGTAAATAAAAATGCAACGTTCATTCAGCAACTTAAGGCAACAGTTACTATGCTAATTGAAAAAATCTACTATCTAAACCAATAGAAAACAACTCAATTATTAACAGTTACCTTTTTCTTCTTGCTTCTTCTTCTTTTCTCTAGGAACATAACTTCCATCTGCTTTGGCGATACAATCTGACTTTGTTTTTGCATATTGTATGCGCTGCACCATATTATTCAAAGTTTTCATACCATTATTTTTAGCTAGTGACGTACCCAAAAGCACATTGTATATATTTGTGTTTAATTGCAAACTATGCCTTTTACATGCCCGTGACTACTGACGCATCATTTGCCATTAAATTAACCTGTTACAGTAGCTTCTTGTTGAATTTTATGCATGTCAATTCAGTCCATCATAGTCATCAATAGTTTACATTGGATTTCCCAAAATCAGACGCTAGGATTTCAAGATATGGAGGTATTTGAAACCAGATTTATACACTCTTTTAGCTTTTAAGTTGTTAGCTCAGAGACCCAACATTGTCAAGAAAATGGAAAACTAAAATACTAATAAGACAATTCTGACAATCTACCACCCTCATAATTTCCAGTAGCACTGCATCAATCTTTGATAAGAAATCAAAGCTTTGAATGGGTCCAAATCTAATTTTCCATTCCACTAAAAGTTAATGAGATTTAAACACACTGATCTTCACTATCATTGCCAGGATCCCCTCCAAACCTTTCTCTAAAAGAGAAATAAAATGCTCATGAAGCTCCTAAAGAATAGAAAGTAGATAGCAGGATTGGGTTGACTACCAAGAAGACCAGAAGTCATGGAATTAATGCCCTTGTCCCTTAATAATAAACAAGCAAATTTGTAAAAATGGCAGAAGAAGTTTCTCAAGCTTATTACCATAGGTTTATCATAAAATGGGAAATTTTGCATCTGTCTCACTGCATTACTGGCAGCTGTCACTTCACTGAAAACTACCCATGCTTGTCCTCGAAGCTTGGCTGTCTTCAATGCAACAACATCTAAAATCCTTCCATATTGAGAGAACAGACAATACAAAGATCTCTTCAATTCTGACAAAGAAAAAGGTAATCTTAATTGAATCTGTAGCAAGTTCAACATCAAGAATTGTTTGAAACAAATTAACAATATAATATTCATTTGGAAATATATTACATAATTCATTTTCGCTATATTTAAATAAATCATGAAAATTTAAAACCTTTCGAACCTACTTTTCGTTTGATTAAAGTCTATTTTAGTCCAATTTATTACTATATCTTAATTATTTGACATGTAGAATTTAATAATAATTATGTTTGATGCATGATTGAATAAAATCCACTAATACATTCCATTAGAAAATGATAGATTTGTATTTTCATATATCAAGAAAGGAATAACAAAATAAATAATTTGAATTGAATATAGAATTAACTTGGAATTAAAATGCTACTTTCACTCAAATCTCTCATTTCTTTCTATTGTATTCTCATGCTATGTTATAAAATTTAAAACTAAACCAAACTCAAACTTAATCAAATTAGAATTTGATAAAACAAACAAGAGTGTGAGAGTTATTTCAACAAAGGGCTACTTCAATCTTTTTCTCTAAACTCTCAACTTCATTTCCAAATTCAATTAAGCTTATTACAAGTTCGCGGACTAGAAGAGGAACTTTTTATCTAAAGGAGGGAGGCTTACTTTGATAAAGAGCACATTGTCAAATTTGCCAATTTATTACCTCTCTCTATATTAACTATTCCGGCGAGTGTTGCAACTAAACTTGAAAGGATCCAATGTAAATTCCTTTGGGGTGATGAAGAGGGGAATAGGAGGTATCATTTGGTGAGGTGGACTGAGGTCAAGAAGTCTGTAGTGGAGGGGTGTCTCAGCCTTAGATCTATTGTGGAGATGAATTATGCACTTCAAGGCAAATGGCTGTGGAGGTTTGGCAATGATGACGGAAAACTTTGGAGAAGGATGGTGGAGGCAAGGTGGGGGAATTGGGAAAGGGATGGGAGGAGAAGGGGAAAATATAAACCACATAGGATGAGTCTTTGGAAGAAAGTCAGTGGGGGAGGCAGTGGGTTTTTGGAGTGTGTTGGGTGGCATGTCGGGAATGGGAGGGGGACTCATTTTTGGCAGGATGAATGGTTGGGTGAGGGTAGACTGAAGGACAGGTTTTTGAATATATACTTCATAGCTCATGAGAGAGACATCATGGTCGAGAATGTGTACGAGGGTGGTGATTGGTGGTGCAGCTGGAATGTGAGGGTTAAACGACACTTGAAAGACTGGGAAGTGGAAGAATACTGCAATCTGCTCAGTTGTCTGACGGAAATTAAGCTAATGGAGAATGGGGACAGCAGGTTTTGGAAAATTGACAAGCAGAAGGGCTTCTCAGCGAGGTCATATTACAATTTCTTGTGCAAAAAAGAGAATGATGGTTTGCTGTCAGCACCTTACATGCAGATTTGAAAGTCAAAAGCTCCTCCCAGAATATCTTTTTTTGCTTGGGAAGCTGCTAGAGGAAGTATCCTTACTATTGATATGTTGAAAAGGAAAGGCAACATTTTGGTAAACAGATGCTATCTTTGCAAAAGTGCTGAGGAATCATCCAATCATCTCTTACTCAATTGCCTAGTTGTTTACAATATTTGGACAAATGTCTATGGGATTATGGGGGAATTGAGTTTGTACGGATGCTGTTGGCAAGGAACTATAGGCTTGGTCGGCTATATGCAAAAAAGAAAAAACATTTATTCTTAGTTCCACTTACCATTTTTTGGATTGTGTAGAAGGAAAGAAATATGAGAGTTTTTGAGAATATAAAAACTGACTTTATAAAAATTAAAGATAGATGGATTAACACTTTTGGTTCTATATTATTGGGTCATGACATGAAAGATTGAAATGAGATTGGAATGGTCATCAACCACTTGACAGATATGTAAATTTATTTTATATTCGCGCAGTATCCCTTGCTACTATTGTCCATAATAATACTTCGATTTTATATTTTTTTGAAAAAAAAAAGAGTTTAAAATACACTTAATTCCATACTGAGTTCATCTTGAAATATATAAACGTATATATATGCATATATAATTTACAATAGTTTTAGACGTCGAAACATATATCTGCCAGAGAATTTCATATTTTTCTCTTGGAATTCATTGTCCAAAACATAATCTAAGATGAAGGAGATTGCTACATACACTTAAACGTTTCCCTCTATGAGTACTTTGAAAAAATCAGCATATGCTAAAATAGAATTGAAAAACAGCCAAGCTACGAAATAAGTACTCTCAAATTTCTGAAGTTAACCACACGCTGAATGAAATATTGTCTCGCCAAACAAGCAGACTCAGGTAAAAGGAGAAAAATAAAAAATAAAAATCTATCAGCCGCTCCAGCAATCAATTGCATTCCTACACACTGAAGAAATCCACAGGGATGCGGAACTTCAACAAAATTATAGCATCCAACTTGGAAATTTTAAAATAAAACCCTAATACAAAAAATTAGAACCTAACAGGTTAATTTCCTTTAGCTTTTCCTCACCAGAAACCAAACAGAAATGTAAGAAAGAAAACTAAAATTTAGCTGCTATAGTAAACGAAAGTGGAAAATCTTACCTTCTTTTTTTATCTTTTCGTTGAGATTCTTAATGTATATAGTTTGGTTTGGAGGTACATCCGCTGTAAGCATTCTCGCTAAAACCCCACACAGAGAGAGAAAGAAGAATAGGAAGACGACGAGCCGGGGCCTGCGTTCGAGAGGGAGAGAGGGAAAGGAATGAGCCCTAACGCAAAATTCAGAAGAAAAGAGAAGGGCGTTTCCGTAAATGAGTAGGCTAACGAGGTTTAACATTAGCTACTCAACGGTGTCGTTTCGGTGAGGAAAGTCACTTTTGGATTGGTTGCTTCTGGTCGTCTAAATTAGGCCCATGGTAAGTTCTTGTCTATGGACTCACTGCTGGGCTTAGAAGTTCAGAACCTGTCCACTCAATCACTTTTGGGTTTGAGCGAAATTAGTTTTGAGTTTGGAATATTTTATATTTATTTTTATTAAAAATTCTTGGAATTACAAGGAATCAAGCAACATATACGTACAAACATCCATTACATATATATATATATATATATTTATACACATAAATAACTTCACAGATATATGTACATGTGTATATATACTGCATCCATATAATTTCTTTTTAGTTCGTTATTGAAAAAGATAGTTGGATATTGTTTTGCTTGGTTGAGTCGTTTTGATTACGTAACATACCTAACGTGCAACCACGGATAACTGTTTGCATTTTCTCAAAATCTTGGAATTACAAGGACTCAAGCAACATAGACAGACAAACTTTCATTGTATATATATTTATTATACACATAACATATATTTCAATTAAATTTAATATTTCAAATTTACTTTAAATTAATAATTGAATTTGTGATACAAATTTACATCACCATGAAACAGTTGTATTTATTAAAAAAAATAAAATTATTTTCTGATTATTTTAGTTGAATTAAGAGTTTGTGAAGTATCAATTTGTTTTGATGAAATCTTTTGGTTCTCTTAAAAGGAGTATGGTGTACCGATAGATCCTTATACCAAATGAAGTGCGGGGATTCCCAATGTATATGGTTTACTTCTTTTGCAGGACTCATTTTTGGTGAGGAGAAAGAAATTCTTCTAGAAAAAGAGAAAAGAAAAATTCATATCCGATCTTCATATACTTTTCTTCTCTTTTATGTATACATAAAACCAGAAGTTTATTATATATATATATAATAAAGAGGCACATACCCTTTGTTTACTCAATCATCATCATCTTCAAGCATCTTTCTCTCTCTGATCTATTTCTCCTGTTTCATTAGCCATATATATACAGACACACACACACACACATATATATGTGCCTGCTGAAGAGATGTCTGAGAAAACCCTTCAAGGGGCTCAAAATGTCATGGCCAAAAATGATGATACCAGCTCCGTTGTCTCCTCAAAAAGGTCATTACAGTATTTTGGTTTCTGATTGTTTTTCTTTAATGATAAGAGCATCATGCCGATCGACTAAATTTAGATGATAAAACTAGCAAATAATTAATTATTTATTTAATAATTAATGTTGTATTTTGTTTGTAAACTTTTGCAGATTAGAAGGAAAAGTGGCAATCATAACAGGAGGTGCTAACGGGATAGGAGAAGCAACATCAAGACTCTTTGCAATGCATGGAGCCACAGTAGTCATTGCCGATGTCGATGACATAAACGGCGTCTTTTTAGCCAATTCGCTTTCCCCTTCCGCCACCTACATTCACTGCGATGTCCGCTCGGAGGAAGACATCGAGAACCTCATCAACACAGCGGTCTCCCGCTTTGGCCGGCTCGACATTCTTTTCAACAACGCCGGAGTTCTCGGAAATCAGTCAAAGCGGAAGAGCATCATTGACTTTGACCCGAAAGAGTTTGACCACATAATGCGGGTGAACGTCAGAGGAGCTGCTCTCGGCATGAAGCACGCGGCGAGAGTGATGGTTGGGAGAGGAAGCGGCTGCATAATATCGATGGCGAGCGTGGCTGGTTGCACGGGCGGGATGGGTCCGCACGCTTACACGGCTTCGAAACACGCCATTGTTGGGTTGACGAAGAACACGGCTTGCGAGCTGGGACGATACGGGATTCGGGTTAACTGCATTTCACCATTTGGGGTGGCTACTTCTATGCTTGTTAATGCATGGAGGAAGAAGAGATGGGATGATGGTGATGACGGTGATGGAGTTAGGGTTGGTGTTGACGAGGAAGAAGTGGAGAAGATGGAGGAAATGGTGAGAGGATTAGGGTATCTAAAGGGTGCAACATTGAAAGCCAAAGATGTAGCAGAGGCGGCGCTTTATCTTGCCAGTGATGAGTCCAAGTATGTTAGTGGTCATAACCTGGTTGTGGATGGTGGAGTCACTACCTCAAAAAATTGTGTGGGGTTGTAGTTTGGTTTGCTTCTCTAGTTTTATTTGCCTCCATTTTTATTATTTTTTTCAGAAAATTAACTTCAATTAACCATTGGAAGATTTTATTGAAGCAATGGAGCCAAGAAATCGGGTGGCTTACATACAGATACTTAATGCCCATACTCGATATGATTTTTCTTTGAAATGTCTGTATTCCAATCTCTACACAAATCCAATCCCTGTTACAAATTGATTTTTAGTATTATGATGACAAAATCATGTCAATTCCATAATCGCACTCATTATAATTTAGTATTATAATGATTTATTTTCATAGATAAATATGTATTATATTCTATTTATCATATAATTTATTCTAGAAATATATAAAATTTATTTTTTAAATAATTAATTACAAAATTACACAGTTTATTAATAAAATTTGTATTAAACTAATTAGGATCGCAGTTTCTTTTATTTTCTTTTTTGTTCAGCATCAGTTGAACCAAGCCAAGCTAGAGTCAAGAATACAGAACCATGGGTTTTACCGGAGCAAGTCAGCTTCATCTAAACATTTTAAAAACATTAAATATATGACAGGTTTAAAAAATATCTAACCAATTAACTGGGTCACCATATCTTGGTCCTAGTATCTCGTTGGGTTCGGCCTGAGTCCAACATGGTCTGGACCATTACCACGTCCCGCGTCATCACAAAAATGATCCTGCCATATATTAACCGGGCTGTTCATTTTATCGGGCGGGTCGGCCCACTTTTCATCTCATATTTTGGTAGATTAGGAATGAACTTTCTAGCAGGAAACAGATATTCAACACGTATAGTACTTTTTCATTCGCATCTGCAGAATGGCAGAGTTAAATTGGAAACCATGGTCTCCCTCTCTCATTTTTAAGATTCGGGTCGGGTCATATAAGTTAGTTCGTCAAGGAAGACCCGATCCAAATCTCATGTATCTGCAAGTTTTCAACCCCATCAAAATTTCTTATTTATTACAATAGTACATTAAGAAATAAAGAAAGTAAAATATAGGTAGCAGGTAATATTTCCTTAACTCGACTTGTATGCCATTACACCAAACAGTATTAACTACTCCACGATCACGAATATATAAGACAACAAACGTATATGCATGCATGCATGACATATACACTAAAACAGGATAGCAGACCCCTGAACCCCTCAACATGGTATTGGAAGTCATACATACTTATATCATGCATACATAGATTCATATATATATATATATATAAAATTTGTATACATATGGATTAGTAGTACGTTAGAGAGCTAAAACTAGACCGGGCACGGACTTGTGATCGCAGAGCTTGCTCTGCCAGATACTCTGGCAAGTACGGGAGGGAGAAGTGACAGCCGGTGACGAAATCGCCGGAGAACCGGGAGGGCTGCCGAGAAGGGTGACGGTGACGGAGGTGTTGAAATACTCTCTCACCTGAGTAATAATCCCGTCAGTGACGGTCCAGGCGTGAACCCATGAGCCCGAGCGTTGATCGTCACTATAGCCTTCCACTACAACAATTGACCCGAAAGCCGCAATGGAAATGGGAGAGAATGTGAAGGAGGAGGACGAAACGACGTCGTTTGTTGATGGTGGTGGTGACGACGACCGGCCGGTGAGTAAACGCATCAAGTGCTGGTGAGTTGGCGGGCCATGGAACCACCACTCGAGGTCAGATGCGAGCAGACGCTGCACCACGTGGACATCACGTGAGCTCAGAGCTTGGTATAGGGCAGTGACTACCCTCTTGTTTTCTTCTTGCTGCTCCAGGCTTAATATTTCTCCTTGAGGGTCTGCCAGTTCTGTTAATAAGAGTGTGTAAGTGTGTTGTGTAAATATAGGAGTGTATGTTTTGTTGTGTAAGAGAGTAGTGAAGGGAGGCGCTGGAATGAGAGAAGGTATATATAGAAGGGAAGTATGGACGGTGGCGTTGCATGGCAAGGGCTGATTGACAAGGGGCCCATCAAGTTGACAGCCAAGTGAATGCCACCTTAATAATTATATATATATTTAATTAATTAAGACATAATTGGCTTCCACTTTTTTTTTTTTTTTTTTTATATTTCGTATATGTCATCAAGATACTATTATAATCTACTCCACGAGTGGTAAGAAGGTTCAAGGAAGCATCGTTTCTAAGAATTGGGTGTAAATAAAAAATTAACACATGACTATATATCTATGAGATATAATATGTATTCGTTGTAACGTGCGTGAATGCTATATGACTATAGGTATATAAATATATAAATATTTTGATTTATTAATTATTTTTTAATCAGATAGTTGATTTATTTATTTATTTATTAAAATTTATGAACTTAATTTAAGTTGTAATTCTGTATCTTTTCGTACATAATTATATTTTTATTAACATATGATATTTAATTAATAAAATATATGTAATTTAAAGTAAAAAAAAAAAAAACAATAAGTAGACATCGCTAAGTAATATGGCATGGATATACCTTCATTATGGTATTAATGAATTATTTCTTAAACTTTTTAAAAAATCCTATAATTAAGTTCATTAATAAGTGAGAATTTGTACCTTATTTATAATTAGACAACAAAATATAATTTAAATGAACAAAAAAATGTTGTTGGCCATGATTTTTCTTTTTTAGCTTTGCTAGTGATATTGTTAATAGAGCATGCTTTATTTTATTTTATTTTTTAAATGACTTTGGAATGTCATCGTATATTATAGTTTATATAATTTAGACGATTAATCTCCTAAAAGGTATGTATAACTTGTTTGGTTCTACTTTTTCAAGAATAAATCTTTATTAATTGGGTCTTATAGAGATATTGGATTAAAAAGCTTTTTGCAGTGTTAATTAAGAGCCGTCATGACCTCTTTTGTATCGAGGGTCATTTTGTTCTTATTCTTTCATGTTCTTCTTTTTATTATTTTTCATTATATTGAAGAGAACTATTCAACATTATGCTTTTCAATTCAAAACAAAAGATAAATAATATTTTTTTTAGATTTTTTATGATCAAAGTCTTAAAATTCATAGACCTTATGATGTTTTACTTATTAGAGGCTTAAGTTTGCACACCTTACTCCATTATTTTTAATAAAGGATTTAGGTTTTATGTTGAAAGACTTTAAATTTAACTTATTGAAATACTTTTAAAATATATATATTTTTTAATTAGCAAATGACAAGAAAGCTGATAATTATCTTTCGTTGTCATCTACAACTTATAAAGTAAATAATAAATACTTTTTAGAGCAGTTGGAAGGCATAAATTGAACCATGCTTTGTAGGAGGGGTACCACAATCATAAGACATGGTTCAACATGGTAAAATCAATGGCTTCTACAAAAACATAATAGTTTTAAACTTCTTTTACATATTCTATTAAGTTGGATAAATCATTCTCGTGTTGCCATTTTGAAATATTTTGAGAGACACTAGCTTACTATTTCAAGTAAAATGATGGCCTAGATGTGATTTTTCTTCGGGTTTTTTTGTAAATTTTTATTGTGCATTTTTGTTAGAAAAAATGTAGCAGTCTTCTATTTTTCCATGCTCTGGTCTAAGAAACATATATAACTTAAACCAGTTGACCACTCAGCCATTTGATGGAAACTCCTTTTCTTTCAAAAACAATATGGAAAACGTACTGCTTTCTCTTGTGAAATTTAGCTGTTCAAAACTGTTGTATGCAAACATATTTATTGACTTGTTTGGTCTCTCCCTCCAAACTAATAATCCGACTCTCTTCAAGGTTATAATCTATTGAACTGTATTAAAATACAAGAAACAATTAATGATGGGACAGTTTCAGGCATCATAGTCATTTGCCTTTAACTTTTGTGCTTTAGATGATTTGTCTGAGCTTCGTTCTGGCTATTACAATTACAGTTCTACTTTGGCTTCTAACGGCTGCATGCATCAAAACCGGACGCCCACAAATAGCAAGAAATGCTATTGAACTAGCCGAAACCAGGCTGCTGAAGGACAACTGGCCTGAATATTATGATGGTAAGGTTGGCCGATACATTGGGAAGCAGGCTCGAAAGTTCCAGACATGGTCAGTTGCTGGTTACTTGGTAGCAAAGATGATGTTGGAAGATCCATCTCATTTAGGCATGGTGGCACTTGAGGAAGACAAACAAATGAAACCCCTCATGAAAAGATCAAATTCATGGACTTTTTGATGAAATTCATTAGGATGGTGTTGTTTACTATCATTTTCTGATTTCAACCAACTGACCAGTTCAGAGCTATCCACGAAACAAAGGTACCTTAAAAGCAAAATACCTCCTTGAGGTCTTTGGTAATGTAGTTGTAAATCATGAATTTTCGTAGTTAATTGGTTCGTAAATGCTATATGCCAATTCTTTCTTTACATTACATACATGTAACGCAATTTTATGTTGAACTTCTGCAATCAAATTTACCCACCCGATGTGGCATTTGTTTGGCTAGTTATGGCCAAACACTTTCTATACTGCCGTTGGTTGAAACTTATTATATTCTTATTCAAGTTTTTAAATTTTGATTAATTATTATGTTTTTATTTATAAAAAATAATAAAAACACATTATTTGAATTTGACATGAAATTGATTTAGATTTAAAGTACAAGCCTGTCTTTTATTTTTGTGCATATAATATGCTGCATATAGGAATACAATCCCTTAAAACAAAAAAAAAAAAAAATGTATATAGGTATTGAAGAGGAAATCAAGTCCAAACGAAGACTGCTTCGGTGGAAACAAGCTGCTTCCTTCAGGGGTTGGCTGCTAACTTTTTGTAGACATTGACTTGATGGGTCGAACCAACCGCACAGTCAGAAGAGGTTTGATTTGCTTTGTTCACGAGTGCGGAGTTATTCTCTATACATACCGAAGGCAGAGGGACAAGTCATTGAGTGGTCGTATCACGGATTTCAAATACTCTCTGGGACATAGTTGCCTCCTTTTATTAATTGATTATTACTTTTATTTTTAGTAGCTAACATTTTTTGTATTATAATTCAAAAGTGTGTATGTTGTATTTCCAAGCCATGTCCTGTGTGTATATATATATATTTATTGAATAAGATGAGTTATCATTTAATTTTTTTTTTCAACTTCAGGATTTCTTCAATTGAATTTTATTTTTGAAGGGATGTAGTTGACAACACATTGGTTTTGGTTTATAAACTCTTCAATATATTTTTTGAATTAAGTTAGCCATATTGAATTTTCAGATTTTTAGTTGCTTTGAGAGTTCTAGATGATATTTATTTGTCTACTCAATTATTTTCTAATGGCTTTTGGAATGATTTCATTCGAGATTTTTAATTGTATTTCTTATATTAACAATGATATTAAACTTATAATATTCGTCTTAACAACAGTTTTTTCTCTTAAAAAAAAAAGAACAAAAACTTAACTCTATGATAATTATCAAAAAGTTAGTAGCAGCTTAAGATTAAATGTAATATTAGGTGAATAGTTAGAGAGAATAATATTAAAGTACAGGACGAGTTTTTTTAACAGTATGCATCCAATGCTC